AAATTTGGGGTTTGGGGGTCGGAAATTGGGGTTTGGGGTCAGAAATTGGGGAGCAGCGCCGCGCTCAGGAGGCTGATCGGGGATGCTGAGGCTGCAGGGAGGCAGGACGGGCTGCAGCTGCTCAAGGTGAGGGGGAAATCCGAGATTTGGGGACAGAAATTGGGGTTTGTGGAGTGGAAATTTGGGGTTTGGGGTCAGAAATTTGGGATTTGGGGATTGGAAATTGGGGTTTGGGGGTCGGAAATTGCGATTTGGGGTCGGAAATTGGGGTTTGGAGCGCCGCGCTCAGGAGGCTGATCGGGGACGCCGAGGCTGCAGGGAGGCAGGACGGGCTGCAGCTGCTCAAGGTGAGGGGGAAAATGGGGTTTGGGGAGTGGAAATTGGGGTTTGGGGTCAGAAATTGGGGTTTGGGGTTGGAAATTTGGGGTTTGGGGTCGGAAATTGGGGAGCAGCGCCGCGCTCAGGAGGCTGATCGGGGATGCTGAGGCTGCAGGGAAGCAGGACGGGCTGCAGCTGCTCAAGGTGAGGGGGAAATTGGGGTTTGGGGAGTGGAAATTGGGGTTTAGGGTCAGAAATTGGGATTTGGGGTCAGAAATTGGGGAGCAGCGCCGCGCTCAGGAGGCTGATCGGGGACGCCGAGGCTGCAGGGAGACAGGACGGGCTGCAGCTGCTCAAAGTGAGGGAAAATCTGGGATTTGGGGTCAGAAATTTGGGATTTGGGGTCAGAAATTTGGGGTTTGGGGTCAGAAATTGGGGAGCAGCGCCGCGCTCAGGAGGCTGATCGGGGACGCCGAGGCCGCAGGGAGACAGGACGGGCTGCAGCTGCTCAAGGTGAGGGAAAATCTGAGATTTCGGGGATTGGAAATGGGGTTTGGGGGTCGGAAATGGGGATTTGGGGTCAGAAATTGGGGTTTGGGGTCAGAAATTGGGGTTTGGGGTCAGAAATTTGGGGTTTGGGACACGGCGCTCAGGAGGCTGATCGGGGATGCTGAGGCTGCAGGGAGGCAGGACGGGCTGCAGCTGCTCAAGGTGAGGGGGAAAATGAGATTTGGGGACTTGGAAATGGGGGTTTAGGAAGAGAAATTGGGGTTTGGGAGTTGGAAATTGGGGTTTAGGGGCAGAAATTGGGGTTTAGGGGCAGAAATTGGGGTTTAGGAGGAGAAATTGGGGTTTAGGGGTTGTAATTTGGGGTCTGGAGCACAGCCGAGGCTGCAGGGAAGCAGGATGAGCTGCAGCTGCTCAAGGTGAGTAAAAAATCTGGGACTTGGGGGATTGGAAATTTGGGGTCGGGGGGGGTCTGCAGCATCTCCAGGGAGCTTCTTCCCCCAAAAATTGGGATTTGTGGGATTTTATCCCATCCCCCTGCACTCCAGCTTGTCCAGAGGTTCCCCCTGATGGGAATCCCACGGGACCAGCCCAAGTCCCCAATAACTTTTCCCTTTTCTTTTTCCCTTTTCTTTTTCCCTCCCTGTTCTGCACCTTCTCCCAGGACATCAAAGGCACCTTCATCAGGTGAGTGATCCCCCGGGAATCTGGGGCTGGTTTGGGGTAGCTGGGAATAATCTGGAA